GGACACAGGCCATTCCCCATCCAGGTAATTGTTGTGAGCAGCAACATCTGTGGCGAATTAGAATCTGAGATGCTGTGCTGACTTCAAGATTCTGAATGGCAAGTGGTCCCAGAATGGTCAAGCTAGGCAGAACCAGCAATCCTTCTTAGCCTGTCCCTGTCTGCCATAAACAATATACAGTTAAATGTCACCCCGAGTCTCCTTCAATTACCTTCTTTTGACTAATCGCTTAAAAACTCTCCCTTGCTTTGGATTTCTTTAGCTGTTGAATTCATCCCAGCTCCTCATTTTCCGATGAGGAGTACTGGGGAAGGGAGATGGTCCACGACGGTGACGGAAGTTGACAGATGGCATGTGGAAGTGCACAACCTGGAACAAGAGGCTCTGAGTTTCTCATCCTACTTTTGTTCCCTTGGGTTCCCATGACACCTACTACAGTGTTCAGTTCCAGTCTGCACCGTGAGTATGGACTGGAGTAAACTAAGTCGATGCCAATGTGCGTGGACCCCGTGCTGAATGTTCTATTTAAACTGCAAAAGTGGACAGCAGAGGAACGAACACAACTTCCGCTCCAGATGGAGTCTGCCCGGGCAGAGAGAAAGGCTCCTAACTTGGGCAACTTCTTCAAGGGGGTGCTGACAGGAGCTCCGAGTGTTGACCCCAGGAAGACACTATGAGCCCAGACACACCACCTCGGATTCTGAAGGGATGCTGAAGAAGGCCCCTGGGGAGGCTTTGGTCCCTGGCCGCCTATAAATAAAGCATAATTTTCAGTTGAAATATGGGCTATAGGTTTCTCCTTTCCTGGCATTTGGCAACTCCCAGAGGCCCCCAGAGTTGTGCCGCCAGAAAGGGCCATTAACTCCCACAAACTGAGGGGTAAGTGCTCCTTCCCAGCCAAGGCTCATAAAATTTCAAACAGAAACCCTTCTGAACCCAGGAAGAGCAGCCCAGTTGACAAGAAACACATGGGCAGGGCCAACACATGGAATGCATTTTGCTCTGAACAGCTCCTTTTGATGATGTTTCCAAGGGCTGCGACCACAGCGCTCTGCACCTTCATGGCAAGGCTTTAGCTCTTGTTTTGTCGGCCTTGGCATCTGGTTGGATCTGAGTGCCCTGGTGCTGCTCAATGCCCTCATTGTACCACAATAGCATCCTCAGCCTTGTGGGCATGAACACATCTCACACTGTCACTATCTCCACTGGACCGTCTCCACCTCCACCGCAGCCCTCGGGCTACAAGCGTGGGCCTCAGCTTTCCGGCAGGCAGCCTGTCACGGAATGTTCATCCCAGCTGCATGGAAGGCCATTTCCCTGCTTGTCCCACCTCCCTAGGGGAGCCTCCGGGCCTAAGACACACAACTTCTTCATCGGATTCTCAACGCACCCTGGCAGATCCCACCACCCTCATCCAGTCTTCAGACACTCCCTCAGTAGCCATTACCACCATCGTCACCGAGGGCCCTACCCCCTGATCATGTTTAGCTGTCCCATCCTCCTCCCCATCATCAGGCCCCCTTAGGTCTTCCTCCCAACCTGGAAGGCTTTCTCTCCTGCCATCCACTCTCTTCCATGTCAAGGAACTCTTTAAGGAGCCTTCCTCGATGGCCCTGTCGCTTCTCTTATCCCTTTGGTTGTTGTTTCATTTAATGTCATGTTTAAAAGGAGAAGTAACGTCGTGGGTACACACTCGTTCGGTTGAGAATCCTGCAGGTGCTCCAATGGGGCTTTTCGAGAGCGGGAAAGTCCCCACATTGCTTCGCAAAGCCAAGCCGCTGCCTCCTCTTTCTGTTTACAGGTTCTAATCTTCCTGATACATCCCAGCAACTTACACTTCAGTAGACAGATCTTCACACCATGTTGTCACCTTGATATGAAGTTTCTTCTGCTTCACTGTGGTTAATCATTGTAGGCAAACAGACTGAAGAATAGGTACATGGAAGAAAGGATGAATAGATGGATGGATAAATGGAAGAAAGAAAGGGAG